AGGTCTACCGTGACCCTTGCCCCAGTTCCTCCGCCCTGCCGGCACACCCATGGATATGCTCAACGGCGTGTGCGCTAAGCATCCACTGCAGTTGCTGCTGTTACAGAGTTAATAGTGTCACTACACATACATGGATGTAGCGAGTTATTTATGTGTTAAGAATTAAGGGGCCGTCCATAAATGACGTCACGCCATTTTGGACGATTTTGACCCCCCTCCCCTCGTCACACGGCGTCACAAAAAGTCAGACCCCCCTCAAATATGACGTCACAAAGCTCTGCCCCCCCCCCCCAAAACCATATTTCCATTTTGAAAATAAAACATGCTTCAAATCGCTTTTAACTATTGTCATTGTAGTGCCTATTTAATGTGGCGCTGCACTGATGTTGTAGGAGAAAACACGTATTTAAAAGGAGGCGTTGGAAAGCTTAAATTTAGCATAAAATTGACTTGAAAATATTCAACGTCTAACTAAAACTGCAGATGTTCAGAATATTAGATTGAAATTATCTTATAATTATAAAATATTAAAAGTAATTATAACTATTAAAAAAATACTTGAAACTTTGTAGTGGAACGAAGCAAAATGGAGAGTACAATTATAACAATCATATATTCATTCCACAGAATGAAAAGCCCTGGTAGAATCATTAGAATCAAAATGTTTAATAACAATCATTAAAATATGTTCAAAATGTATGCTTCTCCATTCTCCCATGGAGAAGCAAAATGCTCCTTTATGGAATAAATAAAAGGTGATCTAAGTACATTTAAATAATCAAATAGTTAATAATGAAAATTAATCAAAATTTGTGTTGTTATAACAATTCTATATTTATTTAAAGTTGCGCATTTTGATGTGACGTCACATTTTTCACCCCCCCCCCCCTCGTCACACATCGTCACAAATGTCTGCCCCCCCCCTCCTAGGTGCGTGACGTCATTTATGGACGGCCCCTAAACAAATTACATTGAGTCGAATACATTTGTTAATTTTACCGACGGTAAATTATGAATAGTTATGTTTGATGACTTTGTTAAATTTTCGTCGTTGTTGCTGCTACGAATATTTTCGGGGACGCCACGGTGGCTAGGCGATTTTAACACCCTCGCCTGGTATGCAGAAGGGTCGTGGGGTTCAATCCCGACCTGACGATGCCTACTGCTGTGGTGGTCGCCATAGATTTTTCTCCAAATCCTCCCATTTTTCCCTCTACATTTACTATCAAAATCAAGCCTTTCGAGTATTTTCCTGCTGCTATAAATGTACATACGATGATGATACGCCACTTGATTGAGCTATCATTTGTGGCCCGGTCGATTCTGAAAAAGAACTACATAGCAGCTCCCCGTGGTCCTTACCTGTTAAAATGAAAAACAAAGTTCAGTTTTAGTTCGCGTAACGCGACATGACGAGCCTCAGACCCCCCACATAGCCTTAACCAGGCTCTGGTTTCCGGGAGTGGATGACAATGGGGGAAGCGGGAGTCCAGGTATTCATGAGTTTGAACATCACGTGTTTGTGTGTGTATGTGACTGTGATTCTGTGTGTGTCTACGTATATGTGTGCGTGTGTGACGCAGTGGTTAGCGCGCTGCGCTACGAACCCGGTGGATCCGAGTTCGATTTTCGCTCACGGCCACTACCACCAGCAGCAGCGATTATCTGACCGGTCCTGGGCCTCCCCTAGGTCGACTCAGCCTCAAATGAGTACCTGGTGCGGTGGTGTGTAGTAAACATAGACACTAGGGAGACAAAGGCGGCCGGGCAGGCGTGTTGCTGGCCCCCCACGCCCTCGATTGCAACAGTGCCAGTCTTCATAGGTGCTACTCACGAACAGCACTTTCCCCAACAGTCTGTTAAATCTATACTCTTTGTTAAATGTGTGTGTGTGTACGTAGGTAAGCAACCAGTCATTGTTGGCCTGGGTGTTCCGTGACTCACCTACGCTGCTGTGTTGTCTAATGTATAGTCCACCACACATGTACGTGTAAGTACATGCGTAACATGGAACAACCACTCCGTACGTATATTTGTGTGTGTGTTTGTGGGAAGCGGTGGCATAGTGGTTAGTGCACTCTGTATATGTGGGGAGCGGTGGTGCAGTGGTGAGTGCCCTGTGTGTGCATGTTTTGGAACGGTGACAGAGTTTGATTGCCGCTCACGGCCACAACCTCCGACGATTATCTCCGCCTCCCCTAGGTTGACTCAGCCTCAAATGAGTACCTGGCGCGTTGTGTAGTAAACACCGTTACTGGGGAGACAAAGACGGTCAGGCTTGGTGTTGGTCACCCAATCCCTCGTGGGCCGTGCTGGCCTCCATAGTTGCTCGCTAAGAGCGCTTGCCCCAACAGTTTTTTAAGGTTATACGGGGGTCGTTGTCTTCGTGTGTCTGTGTTTGTGCAATTGTGGTGACTCATTGTGCCCCTTCCGAAAAGAGAGCCAGAATCAGGACTCAAGGTAAGTGAAAATAAAACGGATTTATAAAAATATTAATGACACTTTATTGTATGTTATGTTTACTATACAGTATTTTTAGTGTTACGTACAAATGTACAATATGTATTTTTTTAAATAATTTTAACAATGCTCTTCTTGTTGAACTGTAACACATTTCATTGTTCTCACCGTATGAGTATTTAAACACAGTACAGTAGTAATTCTAGATTTGAAGCTTTCGTGACTGCAAGGATTCATACTCTTAGGTTTTTTCGGTAAAGTCACGTAGGTAAAAATAAATAATAAACATAAATAATAAAATGATAGACATAATAATAGAAATACAATAATAAATCACGACGTTTCGAGCGCAACACAAGCGTCCGTCATCAGGTGGGACAACCACAGCAAGAAACAAATGCTGAAGTGGGCAAAAGAGCTGCTGTAACAAGGGGCTATATAGGTAAGAGACGGGGGAGGAGCCAGGGAGGAGAGATAGAGGAGGGGGGAGGAAGTGGGCGGGGCTAGGATTGGGAGGAGGAAGACACTGGAGATGCGGATATGAAGGGGGCTTTTGGCTGAGTTTAGGGGGCTTTTGGCTGAGTTTAGGGGGGTTTTGGCTGAGTTTAGGGGGGGTTTTGGCTGAGTTTAGGGGGGTTTTAGCTGAGTTTAGGGGGGTTTTGGCAGAGTTTAGGGGGGTTTTTTGGCTGAGTTTAGGGGGGTTTTGGATGAGTTTAGGGGGGGTTTTGGCTGAGTTTAGGGGGGGTTTTGACTGAGTTTAGAGAGGGTTTTGGCTGAGTTTAGGGGGGTTTTGGCTGAGTTTAGGGGGGTTTTGGCTGAGTTTAAACTGAGTTTAAACCCCGTTAAACTCATCCAAAACCCCCCTAAACTCAGCCAAAAAAACCCCCTAAACTCAGTCAAAACCCCCCTAAACTCAGCCAAAAGCCCCCTAAACTCAGCCAAAAGCCCCCTTCATATCCGCATCTCCAGTGTCTTCCTCCTCCCACTCCTAGCCCCGCCCCCTTCCTCCCCTCCTTTATCTATCCTCCCTGGCTCCTCCCCCGTCTCTTACCTCTACAGCCCCTTGTTACAGCAGCTCTTTTGCCCACTTCAGCATTTGTTTCTTGCTGTGGATGTGCCACCTGATGACGGACGCTTGTGTTGCGCCCGAAACGTCGTGATTTATTATTTTATTTCTATTATTATTTATATCATTTTATTATTTATTTTTTATTTTTTATTTATACCTACGTGACCTTACCGAAAAAACCTAAGAGTACAGTACAGTAGTGTTCCGACTTATGAATAGTTCGACTTACGAACGTGTCTCAGGAGGGGAACCGTTCATAAGTCAAGGAATGCCCATATAAATCAATGGTGCGTCCATCCTGACCGTTGCCTCCCCCTCCCTCGTTCCGCCCCTCTGGATCACGAGGCAAGTGTCTCATCACCCACCCTTAGTGCATGCTGGTTGCGCCTCGGAGTGACGCGGTGCACTGGGAACTTGGGTTGGCTGGACTGTTTCAAGACAGGTTCGAGAGAGATCCTGACAGACCCGACCCGACCCTCACAATGTATAAAGGTAGTTTGAAAGAAATGAGATATCAATCTAGATCAGTTATAAGTGCACAGCTACAGTGGCTTTCTAATATTGAAAGGGAGAGCGTTCCAGACGACCGCAGAAGCGCATCTGAAAGCGCATGATGAAATGACCGTCATTGTTCGATGGCCAGCCCAAAGTGGAGTATATAGTGTAGTGTATAGTACTGTAGCGTATAATGTAGTATAATGTATAGTAGTGTAGTGTATAGTAGTGTAATATATAGTGGATTGTACTTAGCATCTGAAAGTGCGCGATGCAGTGACTGTCTTTGTTTCGATGGCCAGCCAAAAGCTGATGTGAGGGTAACCGGAGTTCGCCTGATGGTTTATGCTCCTTGACAATATCAGCGAGGTATTGCGGTTCATTTTAGCAAGCACTTTGTGTGTAATGAGTGTGACCTTATAATGTATTCGTTCGACAACTAGCAGCCAATGCAGCTCAGTAAGCACTGGACGGACATGGTCGGATCTTGCAGTACCCGTCACATCACAACTCCTGCCAGTGAATGTTTTATATTCTGGAGCTGGATAATGTAATATTTTAACCAAGTTGCGACCTCAACCGCAGAGAATCGGACCGCTTTGACACATAGGCTGTCGTTTCCAAAAATATTAATAATAAAGGTTTCTGGGTTAGATTGCATGAATATAAATGTGTCGTTAACACACCACCACCCGACACAGCCAATTAGTAAGGTTTGTCACGTGAACAAAACGCGTCAATTTGTTACTAGTTCAGCACATAGGTGTGTTGGAGAGTAAAATCCTACAAAATTTACATTGAGTACTGTGACGTTTCGCTGGTGATTGCAATCAAGTTCATTAGGTGATATGCCAGCTTCATCAAGCGATTTGCTTCACCAAGCGTTCTCGGAATCAACGGAGTCTGGGATATAACGGATGAGCAACAAACTCTATTGCATTCCTCTTGTTGTTTTGGGTTGTTTTCTTTTTTTCAGGACTGAAATAAAACAAAAAAACTATTGAAATCGTGAATTCTTGAATGGAAATTGGCATGTCACCCTGGAGCAAGATCATCGCGCTGCTGATAGCACTCCTTGTAAGATGTACGTAGACCACATTTGGTCACATTTTGTACCTTTTACATCCGTTTACTGAGAGAGAGACACCAGGTAGCATGGTGCGGATGCAGTATCTGTCACCGTGAATGCATTGTGGTGGTGATATTGCCAATGGTCCTGCTGCTGCCAGTGATGCTGCTGATGTTTATAGATTCTGATGGTGATCCTGATGATGTGTCAGTGTGTCTGCTATAAATTGACGATTATAATGTATATATGATGATGTACATAGTTGCTGATGAAGCATATATATGACGATGATAACGCTCATGATGATATATATAGATGGTGTTGATGGCAATTATGAATAGAGATGACGCTGATAATGTATGATGTATATAGATGATGATAATGATACTGCTGATGATGATGTATTTTGCTAATGATGATATATTTTACTGATGCTATTAAATGAATGCTAATATCCTCTATATAGATGACTAGTGGAAGTACCCGGCTTTTCCCGGGTGAAAAATATATTTCTTAAAAACCTTACATAAATACACACAGATGGGCTGCTACCCCTGCCCCCCCCCCCCCCCAGCCACGATCTCCTCGGCTGCTGTGCAGTAATATGTACGGCCTATAGTGTGGTGGGGTGTCGAGGCCTAGTACCGTGCAGAGCCTCCGGCCTCGCCTAAATTGCCCACCCGGCTGAGGCTGGGTACCGGGGCCGTTACCCCCCCCCCCGCGCTACAATAATACTGTCTAATCGCTATAATTTTATTATCTACCGACCCTATAATAGTAATTGCACACATTGGGGTGGCGGGGGAGTGAAGAGGACGTGAAACTTTGATGAATTTACCTCAGAGTCGCGTGTTAATGCGTGCGCATATTTTTAACGGGAATTAAAATTGGCGTCCACCCCGCAGCGAATGCGTCGCTAACCGTTGCCAGGGGCAACCGCCGTGGAAAACCAAACGGACCAATCGCGTCTCGCAAATCCCTCACATTTCGTCCAATGAAACTGCGTATGGTCCGGCGACACACAGACAAACAGACACACACACAGACAGACAGACAAACAGACAGACAGATTTGCGATTTTATATATATAGATGATCCATAAGGACGAACGTGATGCAGTTGTGGTACTGCACACGACGAGAATTTGACTCCTACTGCCCACAGATGCCCGCGCTGAAGGAGAAATCGCCGTCCACACAGACATGGAGGTTGCCATCAAGGAGGGCAGCGACGCTCTCCTGTCGTGCACCTATGACTGCACGCCCCACGGGGACAACCACACGGTGGTGCAGTGGTGGAAGGGTAACGATGAACAGGCAAGGCATTGTCTCGTGGACCCAGCCCTGAAGCCTCATTGAGAGAGTCCAAATGCTCCCTGAGCTCCATCGGATTCTGGTTGTCGAACGAATACATTGTTATGAGGTCGCACTCATTACACACAAAGTGCTTGCCACAAATGAACCACAATCACCTTGCAAATCTCATAAAGAAGCGTAAACCATCATCACGCAGACTGGTCATCCTCACAACAGCGGCTATTGGATAACCATCACATTTTTAGATGCGCTTTTGCTGCCATCTGAAACACTCTTCCTTCCGATATTAGGAAGCTACTGGAGCTCTGCACTTTAAAAGCTAGGTTGTTTTAGAGCTGCTTTTTGTGTTTAGTTTGCTGTCCTTCCCCTGCACCTCTGATTATCGCGGTTAGCTACGTACGGTGTGACTTCAATGCCCGAGTTGGTCATGATGCTGGCACCTGGTCTGGAGTGATTGGAAGGCATGGGCCAGATCAGCTCAATAACAACGGTAGGAGTCTGCTAGATTTTGTGCAGCCCATGGGCTTGTAATTACCAACACACTGTTCAGGCGTCGGCGCATCCACAGAACAGCATGGATGCATGCCGGGTCCAAGCAAGAACATCTGCTGGACTACATAGTGACGGATCAGTGGATGCGGGCCCATGTCCTTAACACCAGGACCCACCATGGAGCTGATCTGCCCTCTGACCATCGACTTGTCATCTGTAAGATGCGCCTGCCATTCTTCCACTCCGGTGATGGGTGTACACCCAGGACCCCATTCCAACCTGAGGTGGCCTGGTCTCAGCGAGCTGATTAAAGTTGCAAGCGAGAATTTCATCATCGCTTGCGGCTGGGGTTGGCATCGTCCCCCCTTCCTCCAGATGTCGAGGGTAAATGGGCGAGGTTTAGGACTGTGACTCATGCAGCTGCAATGGCTTTTTGGGAACGCGGTTCAGACCTCCCCAGAGATCCTGGCTGACAGAGGAGGTGTTCAGGTTAGTTGAGAAGAAGCCACAGGCACACACTAATCGTCTACAGCATCCTACGTCAGAGAATGAGGAGGCTTACCGCAGCCTTCGTTCGGAGGTTCGGAGAGCCGTGAGGTGCTGCAAGGATGGGTGGTGGTCGCGGGTTGCTGTGGAGATGGAGTCTGCCTCAATTGCCCGCGATCACAAATCCCTATTTAACTCCATAAAAAAGTAACATGCAGCGCCACGCCTGTTATCATCATTAGGGGGAAAAAACGGTGATCCAATCTCTCACCCCCAGGAACAGGTTTGCAGATTTACTGAGCATTTCTGTGAAGTCCTGGGGAAGGGGAAATCCCTCCACATGGGGAACATCGTGGGACAAAGTGGGCATGCCCCTGTGGAGGCTGCAGTGCCCCAAATATTTGAAGAAGTCACCCCCTGTGAGTGGCTGGCTGAGGTGCCATCTGTTGAGAAAGTATTAAAGGCGATCCAGAGTCTGAGACCAGGAATGGCACCGGGCAGAGATGATCTCCCAAGCGAAATGCTAAGGGAGGGTGGTGTTTGTGCACAGACTGCCCTACATGACATCATAACAACAGTCAGGACCACTGGACGGGTTCCACAGGACTGGAAGGATGCCCTGGTGGTCCTCCTCTTTAAGAAGGGGGACCGCACATACTTTAACAACTACAGGGGCATCTCACTCCTCAATGTGCCGGGAAAGGTCCTGGCAAGGATTATTCAACATCGCCTTGCTAGGCACGCTGAGGAGAGGCTTGCGGAGCCTCAATGTGGTTTCAGGAAAGGGCGGTCCTGCACGGATGCCATATTTTTATGTCTGTCTGCTACAGCAGAGGTGTAGGGAATTCCAACAAGACCTACATCTTTGCTTTATTGGCCTGGTCAAGGCCTATGATACCATCAGTAGGCCTAGGCTCTGAGTTGTTCTTCGTGCTTTCGGAGTCCCTGACCCTCTGCTCACAATCATTAAGGACCTTCATGATGGTGAGCGGGCCCGGGTAAAACTACGTGGCCAGGAGTCGGAGCCATTCACTCTACACCTTGGGATGTGACAGGGATGTCTTCTGGCTCCCATATTATTAACATATTTTGACCACGTAGTTCGTGAGGCCTTCAATAGCTGTACCGGAGGAATTTCCATCTGGTACAGATATAATGGGAGACTGATCGATGCCCGGGTGCGGACAAGGGATAACTGCCTATTGCTCAACCATGTTATGTATGCCGATGATCTGGTAATCACTGCTCACTCAGAGGAGGAGTTGGAGGCGCTGCTGCTAAACCTGGAGCTTGCCACAAAGAGGTGGGGCCTTACCATCAGCCCCACCAAAACTGAGCACCTGCCAGGGTATTTTGTACCATCAGACACTCCACCCCCGCAACTCCCAATTGGTGATGGGGAAGTTGTGGAGAAAGTGGAGAGTTTCCCATATCTGGGCAGTGTGCTTATGACCGGATCCGTCTTAACATCAGAGTTCTCACTCCGAATCAGTCGAGCGGCAGTATCTTTTAATCGGTTGCGTAACGCTGTGTGGAAGCTACCTGGTCTGTCGCTCCGCACGAAGCTTCAGGTCTTCTCGGCCACAGTCATTCCCTCCCATCTCTACACTTGAGAAACTTGGACCCCCCTAATGAAACATCTTCGCCGGTTAGAGACATTTAGGCTGGCCTGCCTGCGATCCATCCTGGGTATAACCAGGACGGATTGTGTAAGGAGCTCACAAATACTTGAAAGATCTGGACAAAGTCCCATCGGTGAGCTCCTCCAGCAGGCAAGGCTGCGTTGGCTGGGCCATGTAGCCCGCATGCCAAGTCACCACATGCCTAAACAGCTTTTGTTCGGCCGGATTGAGGGGGCTAAGTGGGCGTGGCATGGGCTAGAGAGTGATGTGGTACAGGAGGATGTGAAGCTGAGTGGACTTGCCGATGACTGGTACCAGCGGTGTCAAGATCGGCCTCTGTGGAGGAGGCTCGTGAAGGACACTACTGGGCAGTTGGAGGCAGTCGCCCTCCAACAACAACGGAGGGCAGAGGAGCGACGCTCACAACAACGAGCGGAGCGACGGGTGACTAAAGCACAGCAAGTTGGCACAGTAGGGGGCACAGGTGGTGCATCAGCCACTCATCTCAGTCAGTGGACTCGTGGCACCTGGGTCTGCCCCGTGACCTCCTGCCAGCGGGCGTTCGACACTTCACGTGGCCTCAAGGTGCACATAGCCTGGCACAAGCGTCGTGGTGACATCACCGCCACTTAGTGGCGAATGGCGGTCTTTGTTGTTGTTGCGTCTCCATAGCAATGACGCGGCTCCCACCACATTCACTATATCAGAGGCGAGCATCGCGAGCATTGCGCCGGGCACATAAAACACAGAAAGTTGGCGCAGGTGGTGTATTTGCCCATCATCTCAATCAACCCATTGCAGCTGCTGGGTCTCCTGTCAGCGAACCTTCGATGCTTCACGGGACCTCAAAGCCCATCTAGCCTGGCAAATGGTGGTTACTGTAAGGTTAGCCAGGCAATTATTCTCGGTGACATATTTACAGCTCACGTAATTGTAAGTATTTATTATAAAAAAAATACAAACGTACGACACAACGTAATATTATAGGCACATATTTAATGGAAAATAATGTTAGAATAACGTTATAGGTCTCTAGTAACATAACGTAAAGAAAACAAGAAAGTAAATTATTTACACCAACTAATTTATGATAAAATATTTGACCTGACACGCAGGCTTAAAAGTGTAGATATTCCCAGTTATGGGTGCAGCCTGGAACCCTTAATCATCCCTCCCACCCATTGGGCGTTTTCATTACATCACAATTAGACATCATCCTGCACCATTGTGGAACAACAATGTTACAGCCCTTAAAAGGTGGAGATATCCTCCATCAGGAGATTCCGCTTCACATCCCCTTTGCTTCCACCACTTTCCCGATCCTTCGAACACCGCGGGAGTCTGGAAATTAAATCTAAACTCAATAACAAAATAGGACAGACCTTCTTCCTTTGAAAGAAGGAGTGAGGGGGGGCATGAGGCGGTCACGGGCGTTCTGCTGGTACTATGTACAGGTAAAGTGACAGGCTGGTGCTCATTCTTGCATAACCTCACTATGCTCGTTCTAGATATGCTGTTAAGATGCAATGTACGTGTGCATGTTGAACTTCTTTCGCACCGTACATAGTCAACTGTGCTAAATAGTAGGTCTGGCGATAGTGAGCACACTGGACTTGCAATCCATAGGTCAGTTTTGTTCTCCCCGTGCGGCAATTTAAACAATGAACAGTTAAAACAACCCTACCCCTCCTCTGTCCACCCGTCAACATGAATGGGTACATTAATTTTCAGCATATGGTGGGATAATCTGGGTACTCCAGCCTTTTCCAAGCCATATGATCAGCGTGGAAGAGAAAACCAAATACCTTCGAGAGGGGCTCTCTATAGCTCGCACCACTAAAGGCCGATTAGCACGGTTGGCTTTGTACGGTGCAAAATCAGTTCAAGATACATACAAAGGCCCTTCCATCAGCAGTGGCCTGATAAAGCAATTACTGGTGTGTTGCATCATTGTATTGCAGCGTGATATCATTACATTTGCATGACGTGATTGCAGTGGCGGCTCCTGCAAAATCTCTCAGGGGGGACAAATGTCTGGATGATTGATAAGGATAAGGTCCACCCATGCAATGGATAAATTAACAGCTTAAGCATGTAAAGGCAACTTCACTTCTTTACTATTAATGAAAAATAAAGTGACTCTTACAATACATCTTGTTTGTTTCTATACTCACTATTATTACAATCCACTCAGTTTCTTTTATTAAAGATTCCACTAGGTGGCGACAAATAATATTGTTGACTGAAACGTGTTTACGTATGATGACGTAAGCACTTTAGTGCGAGCCCTCCAGGAAGCCATAGAGAATGCATTGCAGCGCCCGCCGTTCGAAAAAAAACATCTTTGAATGTAAGTCTATGGGAACACTCTGGGCGATTCTCAGCCAGAGTGAAATCGCCCAAAAAGAGGCGGTACTCCACAGAACGTGACATGACGCTGATTGGACTATATCCATAGGCACAATAACGGCTAGCGTAACTCTGTGGTTGAATGACATTGGTGGTGCCTCGCCCAATCGCCCTAATGAAGAAACCGCCCCTGCGTGATTGTTTCAGAACATGGCTGCTGACGTCTGACAAGAGTTCGCTGTTCGTTCTAATTCCCGTTTTCCCTTTCCATTCGTAGGTTTTCATCAAAAACGGCAAGGAGGTGAACAACCACCCCCGAGTTCAATGGATGGGCAACCTGGCCACGTGCAATGCTTCCATTGTGATGCGCGAGGTGCTGTTGAAAGACTCGGCTCAGTATCGCTGCGAGGTCTTCCGCATCCCCTCCTACAACGAGGGGCGCAGCGTGGTAGAGCTGCACACGTTACCCTCCACAGGTAACCCCCTGAGGCATCATCGTCCTCATCATCATCACTTACAACCCTCCCCCTGGTGGCTAAAGCTACGAGTTGGGACCCTTGTCACAATCACCATGAAATGTGTTTTCAACAACAGTGTAAAAGAACAACAACACGTTTAAAACGCGGTTTAAATGTATTTTTATCATGAAAATGTATTAATTTGCGTACATTTGATCTTCATTTAGTTAGAGCAGTAACGTAATATTGCAACGAGGTACTACTACGGAGCTTTAGTGGCTGCATTTTGTGAAGACGGAGCGCCCCTATGGTGTTAAATGTTTCGAGACCGTGCGCATAATGATTATGTGATTAGGGCAGGAGGAGCTGCGATAAAACCCCTGGGTGCGACAGTGCGAGACAAATCGAATATTGGGGCCCCACCGATTGCCGCACCCCCTGAGCTGATAACGTAGTTACTACATCACTGCCTACTACACCACTAACCAGAGGTGGGACAAAGTCATTGTTATGCAAGTCCAAGTCGAGTCTGAAGTCATCAAATTCATGACTCGAGTCTGACTCGAGTCCAAGTCACATGACTCGAGTCCACACCTCTGCCACTAACTACCAACCACTGCCAACATCATAATTGTCTTCATTCCTTCATCTCTCACCCTTAATAATAGCAAAGTATGTTGTAATTGTAATACACTCATATTGCATTTTGTCAGAGTGCCACATGATACACAAAACACTACGGTAAGTAATCGATTAACTTGCGGTATTCACACAATGCCTTTTCACTGTAACGCGGAATGCGCACAATTATGACGCGGAACGTGTGGTCGTTATAACACAGAAAGCGCATCATTATAATGTAGAACTTGCCCGCTGTTATAACGCTTAGCGCTTTTTCTCTGAACATGGCAATTTTGAGGAACTCATATACTGCTCGAAACGAGGAATTACTTTACAGGCTGATCCAGATGTCTTGTGTCCCCCATTTAATTCCTAAAACATAATATATTTGTGGTATACCAATGGGTGTGAATGCAAACGTGAATAAGCAAAGGAAACACATGTTAGGGGTCAATTAATTGGGTGTCACAAGACGTCTGGGACCACCTTGTGCAGGAATAGTGGCCTGGTGGCACTGACACCAGAGTGGCGAGCTGGTTACCACCGAGATCCTAGGTTCATATTTAGACAGCCTTAGGTGATTAAGACAGGTTCTTAAATGTATCGAGTTATGGTTTTAAATATTGGTCACAAAAAATATCTTAGTGACTTATAGACACACGTAGAGAATCATAGACTCAGAGAGGTCCATAGACTCACCCAGAGATCCAGATACTTTCATAAACCTGGTAACGTGATTATAGTACATTTTATCCTTTAAAATTTAAAAACAAATTACGTGTATCACTGTGCCTGTCATTTGACAATGATTGCTCTTTATAAGTGCAGGTGGAAAAGTGCGTTTTCCCTACTGGGAGGACCAGGAACCAGTTGAAGCGATCTCATGAGTAGTTCTCCAATGACCTTTTTCGTGGCAGAATCTTTGAGAAACAAACGGGTAGCAATTCTCAGCGAGAGATCAGAATCGGTAAATCGTCCAATTACATGATGACATCAAGAAAAGATTATATTCTTTGGTTCTTTCGGTAAAGACACTTAAATAGAAAAAAAGTGAATTAAAATAAAACAATAATAATAATAAAAACCAAAACCCATTAATGTAGACTATAGCCTGGTTCTTAATCGGAGTGAGTGTACTGGCAGTATATAATGTAGACTGTAGCCTGGTTCTTAACCTCGGTGAGCAAAGAGGGGGAAGGTCACCGAAGGCAACCGTTTATAAAGGTTTCAAAAATGGGCGTGGCACAAGAGCACAAGAGCTCCTGCGGCACAACGAAGTGGGGGGGGGGGGCAAATGTGCCCTGGGGTCAGAGAGCACCAATGTGAATAACAGAACATGCAGGTTAAGAACCAGGCGAGAGTCTACATTATAGACTGCCAGTATGCTCACTGAGGTTAATAATCAGGCTACAGTCTACATCATAGACTGTCAGTACACTCACCCAGCTTAATAACCATTGCTACAGTCTACATTATAGACTGCCAGTACACTCACCAAACATAATAACCAGGCTACAGTCTAAATTACATACTGCCAGTACACTCACTCCGATTAAGAACCAGGCTAGTCTACATTAATGTTTTTTATTATTTTTATTCACTTTATTTTTTTTTCTACGTGACTTTACCGAAAGAACCAAAGAATATGAATTCCTGCAGTCACGAAAGTTTTAAGTCAAAATCAAAGAGGGTTACCACATCGTGCACTTTCAGATACGCTTCTGCGGCCAACTGGAACGCTGTTCCTTCCGATATTAGGAAGTCACCGAAGCTTTGCATTTTATATCATCTGGATTGAAAGCTGATTTGTTTAGAACTGGTTGTTATTGTGTTTAAGTTGTTGTCCTTCCCCGCACCTCTGATTAGCACGGTTGGCTATGTACGGTGCAAAATAAATTCAACTTACAAACAATAGCACAATTATGGTAACAGTGGAGAAAAACATATGAACGTTAAGATAAACAATACTTTTTAATTTTACGTTCAGACCTAAGCAATGTTGTTGTCACGTGTGTACCTGTTCTCGTGAAGATCTCATCATCTACGCACCAACTGAAGAGACCACCAATGTTGGAAACGATGTTCTTCTGAAGTGCTCCTACTTCTGCAAAGGCCCCAGGGATAAGTTCACGCTGGTGCAGTGGTGGAGAATTCAAGACGGCAGGGACGAGAAGGTAGTGTCTTCGCGTGGTCGGATAAGGGAATCTTGAACTTTATTGACATCAGAGTTAAGGTTCGTGTGTTTGCAACTTGTCACAGAGGTTCACGGTTCGATGCACTGACCTTCCTGATTAATAATGTAGTTGTATTCACTATTTTTTGTTCCGATGATGTACGTGTACATCGTAAAAATTAAGCTGGAAGAAAAAATTAAATAACTTTTTCGGTACAGATCCTTCCACAAGGCCATGCCATGGGGGTGTGTGGCACAATTTGGTGCCAGCTATATCATAGCGTGCGTTTATATCGCTACGGTTCTCTAAATAAAATTGACTCTGAGCCTGCTTGCACGTTCCGAGATTCAGAGGTGATCGGGACACCTACACCCTGCAACCTGCAGTCGTCTTGGAAAAGGCAAGGGTTAAGTGAACACATTTGCTATCGCTACTTTACAGTAGCCATAAATGGATAGCTCAACGATGTGGCTTATCACGTTGACATTTATAGCAGCCAAATACTCTAAACGCATGATGTGGATTCTAAATGTGGAGGGAACACCGGAGGACCTGGAGAAAAATGCATGCGACCACGGGGAGAACATGCAAACTCCAAATATACGTGCGTCAGGGTCAGGATCGAACCCATGACCTCTTGTATACAAAACGAGGTAGTTAACATCTCTCCACTGTGGCGACCTTAAGTTTTGTGCACCTTGCAATTCTCAAGGCAACATTGAGGGTTCTAATAAGATGAGCGGCGTCCGGGTCGGACCATAGTGGTTGCTTGCTTTAAATATCAATTTATTTAGTGGGTGGGGTAGGGGGTTGTGTTTGTATAAATATTTGTACGTAGGTATTAATGTTTGGGGAGCAGTATGTAGCGGGTAGCGCGCTGGGCTATGTGTAATAAAGGACTCTCTCTCAGGTGTCGATCTCCGTTGTCCTTTATTGGGTTCGTAGAATCTCGTTACCACGGCGTCCTCGCTCAGGCCCGCGTCTCGCCCGACGATCTCTCCACAGCTCCTCGGCTGCGCCGATATGCAGTCTCCCTGCTGCTCCACCTTGCAGCCACACCGCTGCTCCGCTCTCTAGCTTTACTGCTGCCCCGTATACAGCGAGCTTCCCACAGCCGTTAGCTCTCTGCGTCTGACACCGATGGTTGACGGTGTCGACGTCTCCCACCGCGTGGCGACCGCGCCACTCTCTCCGTCCTGCCCAGCGTGGCCTCCTCCTGTTTCACTCCGTCTCAACTCCCCCTTCCCCTTCTGGTTCTCCCCCTAAATCCTCTCTCCCACGTGACCCTAACTCCACCCACTCCCCACGTGACCCAGACTCCGCCCCCCCTCAATCCTTGCTCGCATTACATATGAACCCGGCGTCCCGAATTTGACTCCAGCAATAATCTGAACCGGTCCTGGGCCTCTCCTAGGTCGACTCTGCCTCAAATAAGTACCTGGTGTGCTACGTAAACATCGCTGCTGGGGAGACAAAGGCGGCCGGGCGTGCTGCTAGCCACCCATTCCCTCGTGTGCTGTGCCAGCCTTCATAGGTGCTCGCTAACAGTAATTGCCCCAAAAGTCTGTTAATGTTCTGTGTATGTTGAACTTCTTTCCCACCGTACGCAACCGACCGGGCTAATCAGAGATGCCAGTGTTTATTCGTGATTTTAAAAAATTGCTTTTGGAAAAATGCCCAGGCAGTTTCTCGCCAAGGGTATGTTATGGTTACGTTTCCTTGGCAAATATTTGATACGATGGTAAAATAGTTCAATTTTGAACAAATGATTGTCGAGTACAAGCATAATCAGAGATGTCCGTCCCTCTGTCTGAGTCAAAAAGGTCTTCACAAAAAACGGCCAAGATCACGTCGTCGACTCGCGGTTCGCGTGGCGTGGGAACGAGACGTCGTGCGACGCGTCCATTTCCATAAAAAACGCAAGCCTCAGTGACGTGGCCCAGTACCGCTGCGAGGTCACTTACATCCCGTCGTACAAACAAGGCAGGAAGGTGATGCGTCTCAACGTGCAGGCGCCACCAGGTTCGTCCGCACTCTCCCTGCACGGATGGTGGGCGTTTTGTGGCCATTTTGATGATGATGGTAGCGATAATGACAAGCGACAATAACGTACTATGGTGTTTTTATTTTTCCTTTTTGTGCAGATACACCAATTCAAACAACGCCCAGAATAAATCCAACAGCCAACTACCCGATTCCAGATGAAAATCCACTGATCACAGTTATTGTCGTTATAGTAGTATTGCTTCTTTTCGTCGCTTGCGCTTTCCTGGGCTTACGATATGGGAAAAATTTTTTACAACGATGCCGGTGAGTTCATCGCCTCTGTTTCTTTCTCCTTTCTTAGTCATCTTGCCAACCACCATCCAGTGCACTCCTCCAAACCTCACCTCATCCCGATAGCTGACTTAGTTTATGTCTGACTCCATTTCACCTTGTCTCCATGTATGTGTTTTGCACTTCTTTTGCACCATTCGTGCTTATAGGAGGTGCGGGGAAGGACAAAAAGCTAAACACAAAAAGAAGTTCTAAAGAAATCAGTTTGTCAATCTAGATTATTTTAAAGTGCATAGCTCCAGTGGCTTCCTAATATCGGAAGGAAGAGCATTCCAGACGGCCTCAGAAGCGCATCTGAAAGCGTGCAACGCAGTGATCATCTTTGTTTGATGGCTAGCCAAAAGCCACTGTGGGGATGACCGGTGTTTAAGTGATGATAGTTTATGCTCCTTGACGAGATCAGCAAGGTTTTGTGGTTCATTTGCGGGGAGCTCTTTGTGTGTAATGAGTGCTACCTGTTAACATATTCGTTTAGCAAACGAAAGCCATTCTCCTGCATCCGAGGGTTAGTTGTGTAAATGTAGCATTGAACCCCGAGCTGGATGTCCTGTTCAACTCCATTTCAGTAAATTACTTGGGTTTACACGAGTTTCGATTCTCAAATCTTCATTTATATTCGTGTCCCTCCTTGTTACGGTCAAAATCATCCTTCTCATTGCCCTTTGTTAGACTTCAGCATATTCACGTACAATTTCAATAGTTCCAGCAAAAATATGAATGCGTTTTCCCCCCATACACAATCGTTGTGGTGGTGCGATAACCAATTGCATATAAAGAATGCACAATCCAGTAATTCATGGTTGTTATTGAGATACACATTTGACAAATTATTTGTATATCTGCCGAGATTACTCATGCTTCCTGGCGACGCTGATGGTAGCCAAATTTAGATTTAAAAGACGCTGCTATGGGAGCTTTCGCTTCCCTATAATTTGGGCGCCAGATGTTAACTACCTCGCCTGAGTATGCAAGACGTCGTCGGTTCGATCCCAACCCTTACGCCAGCTCCATATTTTGAGGTTGCATGCTCTCCCCGTGATCGCGTGGATTTTTCTCCGGGTCCTCTCCTTTCCCCCTCCACATTAGAAACATGTTTTCAAAGTATTTGGCTGATATAAATTTCCGCGTGGCAAGCCTCTTCGTTGAGCTATCATCTGTGACGGCAAGGTCGCTTCTGAAATAGAGCTATATAGCTAAGTGGCCCTTACCTGGTAAAATACAAATAAGTTTCCTTTTAGTTTATTTCGCGCTCATGGCCAATTCACAAGGGGCACTGCACGCCAGGTTTGGGCGAGGACAGAAATGTCTGGAGAATGGGGGAATTACAAGCCAATACTCAGTAGATAACAGTGATAGCTATTATGGATAGGTGAAGAAAGGACCTTACGATTGTGTACAGAGAGAGGTATGGAAAACAAGGTCAGTAGTTTTAAGTATTTAGGTGCAATAGTAAGTGGGTGGGGAGAGTGCGGGGTGGAGGTAAGAAAAGGTGGGTCGACAAATGGAAAGAGGTTCCAGAAATTGTACGAATTTGAAATATGGCACTAAAACTGAAAGATAAACATCTATAAAAGTTACTACGATATTATTTTAATAGTATATATGTTGTTTGTCTTTTAACGGTGATTCTTAAATAATGTATATAAGTTGTAATAATAGGTTAGTTGCACATATTACGTGCTCTCCAGTTGGCTGGGTGAAAAATGGGCGAAGGTTTGCCCAATCCTAGACAACTGGCTCAACAAACTTAATGAACCAACTAACTAACTAATGTGGACACTATGGAAGAGGGTTATTGGGGAAATTTATAGGAGAAAAGTAGATGGAACAGAGGTGAGGGTTATATTCTGGAGAACAGAAGGGAGGCGAGACTTTCATGGTTTTGGGAAGGTGTTGAGAGGATGCAATGAGAAGGGCGAATGAGATACCGCCGGTGCAGGGCTGAAGGAGTAGAGAGAAACCCAAGGGGGAGATTAAAAGATGCAGTGGAAAGAGACAAATAATGAGTGCATGAAAAAAAAAATATGGAACAATGGGACTTCTGGCTTAGAAGAAGAAGCAAAAGATAATCAAGTATAGAGAACACAAAACCATTTACGAAAGTAGTTAAGAACTGAGAAAACAGACGAGTTTAACAGTAAAGTGATAACGTGAGCAGTTCTTTCTGGAAATACAGAGCTATACATAAAGCATACATCCGCAATGACAAATAACATTTCAGATCAAGTGAAGGAATTTCCAGGGGTAATACATGAAGAACTAATCACTGCCCTTCGCAGTATGAACAGGAAACGACTCTTTGAACAGACGGAATAACTGTGACCATTTATGAAAATATAATTAAATGAATCAATGTGAGCAGCTGTCAGAACAACCCTAGAGGATCTCTTTACCAAATATTGATTTGAAGCTTTCGTTACTGCAGGAATCTATACTATTTGGTTCTTTCGGTAAAGTCATGTAGGTATAAAATAAAATACATCACGACGTTTCGGGCGCAACACAAGCGTCCGTCATCAGTTGTGAAAGCATCTTTACCAAATGTTTGCAGACAAATGAAATACAGTAGGCAATAATTAATGCTTACATCCTTCCCCTTTACTAAAAGGGAGAATATCAGACTTGAAAAAGTACAAACCATTTGCATAATTTTGCACGCACTGAGTTAGATAATCGATTATCATATGAGAATTAAGAATGGAATTCTTAGAGACAAACATTTTCTGTGAGCTATCAAGCTGGATCTAGAAAAGGGTTTTCAACCATTGTGACACATATGCTAGAAAATATAATGTATTTGATATATCACTATGTCTAGCTTGTATGCGTTATGAAGCTCGATTTATTTGTAAACTGTTGGGAGTTATTCAAGCATTGATCAGCTTGGTCATTACAGAAACCAGTGGAAATGAACTATGACAGAACTAATTACACAATTTTTTATGTTTATACCTGGTATGCATCGCGGCTGTGTTGACAATCGCTTGTGATATATTGTCTTTGTATGTAATTGGCCAATTGAAAGACAACGAAGGGAACAAAGGAACAACAGAGATCGTAAGTACATTTACGCACATGTATTCAATTACAGTATGTTTGACATGTTTTATATACAATGTGATGCTCCATATGTGTGATCTATACACCCACTCCATGTGTGTCATCTCCATGTATGTTATCTATACACTTAATCGATGTGTGTGATCTTTACACCTACTACATGTGTGTGATCTATGCAACAACATTCACTATTTGCCACTAAGTGGCTGTGACGTCACCATGGCTCTAGGCTAAGTGCACTTTAAGGTCATGTGAAGTGTCGAACGCCCACTGGCAGGAGGTCATGGGACAGACCCAGGTGCCATGGGTTGACTGACTCAGATGACTAGCAGATGCACCAGCTGTGCTGCCTACTGTGCCAACTTGCTGTCTTTTATCCGCCTGATGCTCCACTCGTTGTTGTGAGTGTCACTCCTCTGCCCTCAGTTGTTGCTGTAGGGCGACTGTCTCCAACTGCCCAATACCGTCCTTCACGAGCCTCCTCCATAGAGGCTGATCTTGACACCGCTGGTACCTGTCATCTGCAAGTCCACTCAGCTCAGCATCCTCTCGAATCACATCATTCCATTTCTTCTCTACCCCATACTGCGACCATTTAACGCCCTCTATCTGGGCGAACAAAAGCTGTTTAGGCATGCCAGTGGCTGGGCATGCGGGCTACATGACTCAGCTAATGCAGGCTTTCCTACCAGAGGAGCTTACCGATGGGATTTTGGCCAGATGAGGATTTGTGAGCTCACATAATCCAGCCTGGTTAAACCCAAGATGGATCGTAGGCAGGCCAGCATTAATGTTTCTAACCGGCGTAGATGTTCTATTAGAGGGGTTCATGTTTTGCAAGCATCGAGAAGGGAGAACATGACTGGCCAAGAAGACCGGAAGCTTCTTGTGGAGGGACAGACCAGGTAGCTTCTACAAAGTGTTATACAGCCGATGAAAAGATAAGAAGTTCAACATAACATTTCACTTGGAAGATGATCTCTGCTCGGTGCTTTACTGGTCTCAGACTCTGCATTGCCCCTCGTACTCTGTCTACAGATGTCACCTCAGCCAATTACTCACAACGGGTGGCTACTTCTGGCAATACGTGAGGATGTGCAGCCCCAGCGGGGTCATCTCCAATTTGCCCCACGATGTTGTCTGGGCTAATTCCCCTCCCCCAAGACCTCATATAAATAATCTGCAAACTTGTAGACCAGTTACTGGGGCTCGGTGAACGGATCACCATACTTTCCCTCAAGGATGGTGATAGGTGAGGTGCTGCAAGATACCTTTTAGATGGAATTAAAGAGTGATTTGTGATTGTGGGCTACCGAGGCAGATTCCATCTCATTAGCACCCCGTGCCCACCACTCATCCTTGCAGCACTGCACAACTCTCTGAATGCATACGCAATGCAGCAATTGCAGCTGCATGAGCCACAGTCCTGAACATCACCCATTTCCCTTCAGCATCAGGAGGGGGAGGGGGGGATGCAAATCCCAGCTGCAAGCGATGTTGAAATTCCTGGTTGCAACTATCCTCAGCTAGCTAAGGCCAGGCTACTGTGGGTTTTAATAGGGTCTTAGGTGGATTCCCACCACTGGAGTAGAAGAATGGCAGGCTCAACTTACAGATGACCAGCCGATGGTCAGTGGACAGATCAGATCCAAGGTTGGTCCTGGTTTGTTGTCTTTCCCCCACATCTCTGCTTAGCACGGTTGGCTACATGCAGTGCTAAATAAGTTCAACATGTATACATACATGCATAACTCCAGCAAACTCCTACTATTATTATTATTGAACTGATCTGGCCCAGACCTTCCAATAACTCTGGCCCAGGTGGAAAGGATGACAACCTTCCCGTTGTCTCCACTGTTACGTGCTTGTCAGGGCCAAACTTACCGCAGTGTGGGGCCGTCACTACATTTGTGCCATCTAAATGTAGAGGGCCTGTCAAGGCCCAAGTGTGACTTTCTGAGATGTTTCCTCAAACTCAACAAAGTCGACGTACTCCTGCTCCAAGAACCCATACAGCCAATGACGAAAGAGCCTCAAAAAATGTATTTCCCTGGATTTATGCTAGCTGCCAGCCACCACCATCCCAAGCACAGACCAGCAACGTACGTGAAACCCCATCTCAAGGACCTCATCACAACGAACCCATCATCAAAATCGAGTATGTATCTGTCATAAATGTATATAAACCTCCAAGCACTGCATGGAGCCCAAACATGCTGCCTACCGTGACCCATCTCGCGGTTTTCGCTGGTGACTTCAACAGCCATCACACGTTCTAGATTTGAAGCTTTCGTGACTGCAAAGATTCATATTCTTAGGTTTTATCGGTTAAGTCACGTAAGTAAAACATAAAAATAAAAATAAAATAAAATAAAAAATCACGACGTTTCGGAGGCAACACAAGTCTCCGTCATCAGGTGGGACCGTCACAGCCGAGTTAGCTGCATCAAGTGAGGCAATGATTCAAGATGTAATCCCTTATAAGCAAGTTGAAGGGAGGTGGAGAGGGGGGGGGTGGAGAGCTTATCAGACTGTGGTAGCCAATGAATGGAAACGTATCGGGAGGGAGGAGGGGCGGTGATCAAAGACTGCAGGTAGTGCTCAACACAATCAAGCGCATTGTCTCCCGGATTTCACCAAAGGCAGAACGCGGCCCATTCACACATCCCACAGGTTTACCGGGTGGAATACACTTCATGCTAGAACAAACAATGTGGAAAAGCTCTTCTGGGCTCCCTAAATAAATCCATAAAACAAAGGTGGACAGAAGCGATGAAGTCACTAGATTTCACGCACTCAATCCATAAAGTCTGGCATCTCCTGAGACACCTCGGAGCGGCACCACCACCAACAAGACGGCCAATGTGCCCATTAATGCTATTGCTGTACAAATGCTACTGAATGGAAAGATCCCTACAGACCGGAACACAAGACAGCAAGTGAAGGCACAACTTCATCAATCAATAGCAGAATATGCATCGATAACAGCCTTATCATCCCCCTTGACTGAAGAAAAGGTTATTAATGCCATGAAAGCCACCAGATCAGGAAAAGCCACATGATTAGGTGGGATTTATCCCGAGTTCCTGAAACACCTTGGCCAAAAAGGATGCTGCTGGCTTGCCAGATATTTTGCGGACATAATGGCCTCGGGCAAAATTCCAACAAAATTGGCAACAAACAAAGGTCATTGCCATTCTGAAGCCTGTAAAATCAACCGCAAACCCAAATAACTTCCACCCCATATCCCTGCTAAGTATGGTGTGCAAACTCCTCGAGAGGATGCTACTGACTCACATGTCACTGATCTTTATGGAGGCTAAACCAACTAAATAGGCTGGTTTCCACCCTAGCCGCATTACATGTGACCAAGTGCTGTCACTCAACACGCACATTGAAAATAGCTAACAGCGCAAGGATATCACAGGAGCTGCTTTTATCGATCTATCAGCAGCATGCGACACAGTATGGCGGGAGGGCCTCATGCTAAAGGTGTCGAAGCTCATCAGATGCTAGCAGTAATTGCTCCGGAAATTTTTTACATGTATATAAGTGCTCTGTCACTATCCGCTGCAAATTTGGCTATGCCTATGACCTGGCACTTGCCATCCAAAGATGGATCCAAAGTGTGGTCCAAAACGACTTTTGCGAAGTCTTCAAGAAACTCGAAATGTACTTCAAGTACTGGAGGCTCTGTCCAAACCCAAGGAAAACTGCCGTTACATCATTCCACCTGAACAATGCAAACCCCGACCATAAATTGGCCATCACTTTCTGTGGCGAAAAAGTTCAGCAGAATAACTTAAAAATATCTCGGTGTAACTCTCCACGGGAACCTCACCTTCCGCAAACACCTGCATAATACTGCTGTACAAACAAAATCACGAGTTAATCTCGTGCATAAACTGGCCGGAACAACATGGGGAGCAAACACAATGACGAATTAGATGGCCACCACAGCACTAGTCTTCTGCATGGCAGAATATTGTGCCCCAGCTTGGAACAAAAGCGTGCACACGAAACTGGTGGATATGCAGCTAAATGCAGCCAAGAGGATCATCTGAGAGTCGCTAAAGAGCACAACGTTGCGTGTCTTCTGGTCTTCACATATATCGCTCTTCCGCAGCTCTGCCACAATGCCGCATGTGTGAGGGAGTACCGCAAGGCCATCAGAAATCCAAACCTACCAATAAACAAGGACATCTCCATGCCACCACCACATAAGCTCAAATGCAGAAAACCTATCTGGAAATCTGCAAAGAACCTCCATGACTACAATATCATCAAAGCACGATGGGGGAAAGCCTGGCAAAACACCATCCTGCTACAAAAATCCATCATCAGCGATCCCTGAATCCTCCAACCTGGAACAGACCTATCGAGGAAGATATGGTCCTCCTTGAATCGGATACGGACACTCGATGGAAGATGTGGACACTTTCTCCTTGAATTAAAAATTTATGAGAGTCCAGTTTGTGACTGTGGTGCGACATATCAGACTGTGCAACATATCCTTAACGGCTGCCCAATCAGATCATTCAGCGGCGATCTGAAACATATACACATTGTTTCTCCTGAAGAAGTCGGATGGATATCAAATCTCGGGATCAATTTGTAATCTGTTGCAATACCCAAAATGCCATATGAAAGAAAAAGACTCCGACCTACGTGTCTGCGTCATGACCCACTTGGCCACTGAAATCCCCCAACAGGATGACTCTATCCCAAGGGGCCACTTTAGCTAGTACCTGAGACAGGAGGTCATAGTAGTCACCTGACTCATCAGCCTTGTCTCCATCCCTCCACTGATGTTCATCTTCGGTAGGGTCTAAGCATCCGTGACCATTCCTCACCTCTTGGTGATAGGGAGGCAAGCCCACAGCAGCCTAGGACTCATACATTTCCACATGTTACCTCCGCGCTCCCACACCTCCTTCACTATTTTGTTCAAAAGAGGTACTACTCCCTTTTGATTGGCAGATTCCTGCCCCGAGTGG